GAAAAAAGACAATCAACAAAGATTACCAGACAAGAATTTCAAAGCAGTTCTATAATCATGCTTAAAGACATATAGGAAAATACCCTCAATGAATGAAAAAATACACAATGCAGATAGATGGTCCTGACTTACAATGATTTGACTTACCGATTTTTCAAAATTATTGTGGTACAAAAGGGATCCAAATTCAGTATGCCCCTCCATTTATGATAGGATTATGTCCAGATACACCCATCTCATATTGAAAATATTGTAAATTAAAAACACATTTCTTGATTTCTATATTTTCTATTTATGATGGGTTTATCAGGATGTAATCCCATCGTAAGTAGAGAAGCAAGTGTACTTGAAAATGCCACCATAACCCTGTCACCTACCAAACTAAAAGTAGTAGCTTCAGAATGAGGCAATTATGAGACCTAAAGTGGTATCAACATTATAGAAAACCATGGACAACTACTGAAGGGAATAAACCTATTCTGAGAATTTATTACTCCATAATTCATAATTTTTAGGCAATTCTTACAATCCTCCATGAAGTACTGTCTCACTTTACAGGAAAGAAACATGAAGTTCAAAAAGATTATGAACAATGGCTCAAGGTTACATAGCTAGTACTAAATTCTGGGCATATTTTAAGCAATGATGATTTGAAAAGCCTATAGATGAAGAGATTGGTAGCTAGCTAACAAAGCAGAAATAGGCAATTCTCTTGAAGTGTAAATGGTCTCTTTAAAGGTTTCTCATTTAGGAAAGGAACTTCCTTAGTTAGATCTTATTCATACTTTTCCTAATCTTTGATAGGTTCATTTTGATATCCCACAATTTGTGAAACCCTGGTTCTATAAGTTATGTATGCAACATCCTCACAATGAAAGGCTATGCAGCATTAAAATGACAGTACAGAAATACCTACAGATAAGGAAAGATGATCAAAATGTATTATTGAAAAAAAGCAGGCTACAAAATAATATGAATATCTTCCCTTTTTGTAAAAAAAAATCTATAAGGTCTATTAATTGTAGACATCAAAATGTTAACAATGGTAATTTACAGGTTGACAAGACTATGGGGTGATTTTTATTTTTCAAGCTTATTCAATTTGCTATTCTCAATGTTCTGTTTTCCCTACAATGAATTACTTGTGTAATAAAAAATTAAACTTATTTGTCAACTCAACAAATATTTATTGGGCACATACTGAATACCAGGTACTATTTGTAAAGAAAAAAAAAGTTGCAGAAATGTTAAGCTTGATTAAAAGTTTCCTCCACTACCTGAAGCTTTTTTCATTATTAAAACTGCTTTTCAATTTATACCGCTAACCCCTTTGCCTCAAAAACAAAAGAAAGGAAATCTATGTGTGTTCGCTTATTTCTATCCTTTCTACTAGACGAGGTCTGATCTTCATCTCTCACCTAGGCTTCTCCAAGAGCCTCTATTAGTCTCCTTGCTTCTGGCTCCAATCAAACCCATTCCACCCTCAGTCCCATTCAGTGATCTATCCAAAACAGAAGAAACCTGACCATATCCGCCCTACTCCTCTAAAACCTTTCACTGACTCCTCATTGCCTCTAAGATAAAGTTGAATTCTTTAGTATGACCATAGCAAAGAGGTCCAATATCTTGCCGCTGTCCCTCTCTCATTTCCTCTGGGAAGACACTTTACCTCCAACAGAGTTGGCTTCTCATACACACCAACCTTTTTTTTTAATCACTGTTTTTTTTTTTTTCATGTTGTCCTTTCCACCTAGAATAATCTCTGATCCCATCCCAAATCTGTTAGTATTATCGCCAAAGAAAAATCTCATCCCACCTTCAAACCAAATTGGATGACCCTATTTATATATCTAGGATTGCACTTTCACATTGTATATTTACCTTAAAGTTCCTTTTACATGAGACTATCAATTCCAAAAGAACAGGGATTGCCTAAGTCTTTTTCTTATGAGGAAAAAAACAGTACCAACCTCAATAATGAGATGTGGAATGCAGATATTTAACTCAGTGTTTGACATACAGAAAATAGTCACCAAATGTTACCTATCGTTCTTATTATCCACAGTTACCTGGAGCCCATAAATACATGATCCACAGTAGGACCTCAAATGTTTATTGAAAGACTAACCTTTAGTCACTTGTAAAATGGAAATAATACCTCTTGCAAAGTTTCCTTTGCATGAGGGAACATTTCTGTTTTACAAGTGGGGAAATTAATAAAGATTAACGCCCAAAGTCATATAGCTACAAAAGCGCTGAAGCTACCCTTCAAACTCGAGTCTAACCCTAAAGCCCTTAAGTCATTCTATACTAAAATAAACTATATCCCTCTCGTTTGCTGAGTACTGACTCAACCTTTCTAGTTTCCTCCTAGAAAAATAAATAATAAAGCTTCTTTCCAGCAAATGCCCTGTTATAATCGTCATTTCTGGAATCTGCATTTTTAAAATCAACTTGAACAAGTGTTTCAACCTCTCTGCAATTCAGTTTCCTTGCCTATAATGAGATGTACTCGGATCTCAAAAGCTCATTAAGCTCTAAAATCCTGATTCATTAGTTGGGTGCAGTTACTTGTGGTGTCGTTCTTTCACGGTAGTTTGGTAAGATTTACCGAGGACTTCCGATATGTAAAGTAAAAATACAGTAAATAAACACTGGTCACCCTTCTCTAGCCCTAACGAAACTCGCAGTAAGCCTTCACCAAACAAGCCAGAGTTCTCTCAAGTACGCTGCAACCTAACAGCAACAAGTCACTAAGCTTGATACGCAAGGCGCCTCCTCCTTCGGCGACGGGGGTCTTGGAAGCAGACCTGGTCAATCCAGCACAGGCCTAGACTCCGCGCTAGAGCGAAATAGCAAAAAACAGACCACCAAGACGGCCCCTGCTTCCTGTCCTCCTTGGCCAAATTAGGCGCACACTTCCCAGTCTGGTGGGGGAGGCCACGCACCCGCCGCAGCTACGGTTGGCAACCCTCCCTCGGGGCTCCTCACTCGCAGTGGAGCTGCAGCGGCCTGAAAGGAGAGCGAAGGCCGCAGTGCCCTTGCCGCCTCCTGCAGGCCCGTCCGGAGCCCACGGCTCTCCTGTGCCCAAAACTAAGGGAGGCACGGAGAGCGGGAGGAGGGCGGCGGCAGTACCCGGGCTCATCCCGGGCCTCCTTACCCAGTGGGCGGCGACGCCAGCCGCCCGGGCCCGGAGCGCCGCAGAGAAGAACATGGCTACCCACACAGTTCGCCTTTCCCCCACCGCACCGCGCGAGAATCCCGAACAAGCCCGGGCGCACAGCGTGCGCGCTCCCGAGCCCGGGCCTAGGCGTCCAGGGAGGCGCCCTGCTCCCTATGCTGAAAGGCGGTGGCCGACGCGAACGCGCGCGAGAGCGCGGAGGCTTGTGGGGCCCAGTGGCGGAGACTTCCGGGGGCGGGGCGGGGACCAGCAAGGGCCCTAAAAGGCCCTGGTCCCATCGGCCGTGGCTGGGGTCCTGGCCTTGAAAGGAAGCGTGTCTGAGCGGCGCTTAAGGCCCCTCGTGAATGAAATGCTGACCTGGATTTATGGGGTGAGCTTCCCTCCTGGAGAACCTTGTGAGGATTAACCACCTGCTCTTGTACTGATGTTTCTTAAAAAAATTCTGTTGCAACCCACTATAAATCTTACCTTACAAATTAGGGAATTCGAGACACAGAGGGCTGCCATCCGGTGTGCTAGCCATAGACAGCAAATGCCTTGGTCCCCATTCCTTTGCTTTAGAGATGTGTGCGACATATTTAGGGGTGAAATGCTGTGATAGCTGGCATTTGCTTCAGAATAATGGGGAGTGGCAGGTGAAAAGGAAGGAAGAGTGGCCGTGGGTACTGGCTGTTGATGCTGCCTGGTGGTTCTTATTACTATTTTCAGTACTTTTGTACGTATTAGAGATTTTCCATAATAAAACTGAAAAAAAAGCCACTTCCTCCTTGATGTTTGGTCATCTCTGGAAATTCCAAGAAGTATTTATTCAGTGACGGCTATAATATGCACAGCACTGTTTCCTGCTGTGGAGAGTTTCCCTGGCACTTACTGCCTCTTGAATTTTTCCCTTCACTGCCTTCTTTTCTTGTGTGTCACGTCCTGCATCCACCCCCTTTTGCCCATTCGCTCTGCTGTAATAAACTTGTGAATAATTTCTGGACATTCACAGCAGCACAGGGATTTTAAAAAATTATTCTCTCTTTAAAAACTCTAAAATATTCCATTACAACCCCTATGAATAATATTTTACAAATTATAGAATTCAAGACACAGAGGGTTAGGAATAGATAGCAAATGCCTTGGTTCCCATGCCTTTGCATTATATTTTATATTAGTTTGCCTCTCCTAAATCAGCTTCAATATTTCTCTTTAAAAGGGAAAGATATTCTGACCTTCAATGTTGATTTAAATTAATTTATTATAAAGTTACCTGTATAACTATATATACATCCAACACTATTAAACACGTAATAGTTCTTAAAGTTCTTAGGCAACTAAAACCAAAACATGTCACAACTACAAACTTACAAGTGGATGATACTAACGGATAAGGCATGGATTCTTTGAATCTCCAGTGCATTTTTATTTTATTAGGACCTTCTCCCAGTCCAGATTAGTCCTAAAGATATCTTCCCAAAATACACCTGCCACCACTTTCATTACTGTGTTTACCACCGGATTATAACCTCCATGGGTGCAGAAACCTCCCCTTCCCATCTTGTTTGGTTCAGCAGCTTGCACTATACCTGGCATATGGAAGGCCCTCAATAATATTTGTTGAGCGAATGAAAATCTTGCACATAGTGCAGATATTTTGCCTATCTAAAAGGGTTGTGTGTCTCTGGCTGGAATTATGCTTATTTCTATGTGTATCAGTGAGAGTGCTTTTTACTACAAATAACAGGAGACCTAAATAAAGTAGATTAAACAATATTGGATCATTAGCTCACATGAAAAGAATTCTAGACATAGAGCAGTTCCAAGGTTAGTTAATTCAGTTGCCCAAGGATGTCCTCAAAATCTTAAATGCCTTCCATCTTTCTACTCCAACATACTCAGCCATGGTTCCTATAAGGTCACAAGACGGCTGCAGCAGTTCCAAGTATCATGTGCAGATGACAGCATCCCAAGGAAGGAAAAGAACTCTTACTTCTGAAATGTCCCGGATGTTCCTGCAGCAGATTTCTTTGTCTCATTGGCATACAAGTCATGGTGGTTAAGAGGGCATGCTCTAGAATCAGACTGCTGGGGTTCCAGTCCTATCTCTACTGCTTTCTAGCTGTGTGACTTTAGGCAAGTTTGTTTCTCTGGGCTTTTGTTTAGTAGTAGTACCTTCCTCATAGCTTTATTATGGGAATTAAATAAGTTAAAACGTATAAACTTCTTTCAGAAGTACCTAGCACAGAGTAAGTGCTCATTAAGTGTTAGCTTTCATCATCATCATCATGTCATCAGAACAGGACATCATAATCTTACGATGATTAAGCCACTCACTGAAAAGGAAAAATGGAAGGGCCAGTTTGGGGCCAGTTATCTCTTGAACAAAGTAGCTTTGCCAGCAAGGAAGGGGCTGAGGGAATGAACTTGAGTAGGCAACTAATGGGGTCATCCACAGTAGAGCAGCATCTTTCGAAGTTCGCAATCCATAGAGAAGGTGTATATCCTATTGGTGTCTAACACTAATCATGGACTTACCAGGTGTCCCCAGTTTCTGTTACCTCAGAGCAGAACCGGATCGCAAAGAGTAATGTTTGAAACATTAAGGGTCAGGGGTAAGGGAGTGTCTAGCCTGTTGACACTTTCTTGAAGATGATACAGAAAGCAAAACGCTTTTAGTTCAATCGTCATGCAACTACCAGTAGGTGTGACAACACTCTTCACCAAGTCAAAAGATTCATTAACGTCCAACATGACTTTGGCTTATCCTTAGCCCAAATAATTCTCAAGTGAAAGTGTCAGAATTAATGTCTCTCAAACCAATAATGTAAGTAAATTTCTAGAGCCATTCCACTTATACAGTAACATAATGCAGTCAGCTGTTCTTCTCAGAGTCCTTAGGATGGAATTATGGGGGCCGTTTAGAAAAACCCTGTTCTTCCTCCCACTCTCAAAGCCATTGTTTCTGAGCACAGACCAACATGGATGTCAGTAATTTCAACTTTTACTCACCTAACCTTAGAGGCTTGATTGAAACTGGTTTGAATATATACATGTGATGAACATTATGGCTACCTATGAGATATATTTCACTAATCTAAATTAGTGCTACTATGATAAGCCCAGAGAAATTTGCCCTAACTGCAGTGCTCAGTCCTCTAAATAAGGAATGTGTGGGTGTTGGGGGTGGGGGTGAGGGAATAGGAGCCAGGGGAGCTAGATTAAAATCTGGGGAGATAACCAAATATGGGGACTTTGACTCTCTTATTCCTATGATTTCTTCTCCATGTAAACCATCACACATCAGCACTATTGAGGATGTGGTGATAAAAATCATGAGCTTTGTAATCAGACACACTCGGGTTTGAATTCTGACCTCATCACTCACTGGATTCTGTGAAGCTTTGGTCCTCTGTTTCTAATAGTATAATTAGAACATTAAATCTTTCAACTTATGGAAAACGATTAACATAGTGCCTGGTGTACAGTAAGGGTTCAAAAAAGCATCATTTCTTTTCAGTACCTACCAAGGTGGCCCACTCTATCTGTGGAACACTCTGGTCAAGTATTCTAACTTATAGTTACCTCCAAGTCACATCCTACTTAATAAAACAGCCACCGGCAGATCGTGTACTCTGCCTCTCAGCATGCCGACACAGAGCAATACTGACCTGCCTGCCTCACTGGGTTTTCTAATGAATCATGTGAGATGCAGGCCCAGTCCTGCTTTGCTGGAAGAAGAACTAAGGGCCGGTTAGTTTAAAGTCAAAACTCAATGGAAGGGAAAAATGGGATAAGGTTCCTGCTGGACGAGTGAGTGAGAGAGAGAAATACTTCCAGCAGGAAGTTTGAGGACGCGAAGGTGAGTGACCAGTCGCAGTGGCGGACTGCAGTGTTGGACGTGTTTCACACCGAGGCGTGGGGGGATACGAGGTTAGTGAGGATGTCCTTTGTGATGCTTCCCAGTTCTCCTCAAGTTAATCTCGGATATGTGGGACCAAAAGGGAAAATGAAAATCAAAACAGCCAGTAACTTAACTATATAAACTTCAAAAACAGACTGTTTAAAAAAATAATATAAGCAGAATGTCACCTAAGCCATTATCAGATTCACATTGCTTGTTACTTCCCCATCATGGGACTGAATCCTCGCAGCTTCCGTGCTGAGGTGAAAGTTTCTGTCAGAATTTGATCAGTGCTTCCCTAGCAAGTAATCAGAGTAATTAAACAACAATGAATATAATTCTTGCCTAATCGATTGGCAAATCGCTAATAGCTGTTGTTGGTAATGTGGGGAGCAACATACTGTCATCTAGTGATGGTGGTAGTGTGTAAGATCAGCCTCCAGAGAGGAGAGGGTCATTTGGCAATATGTATTTAGTTTCTCTTCTTTTCTTTTCCATTTTTTTTTTTTTTTTTTTGACAGAGTCTTGCTCTGTCAACCAGGCTAGAGTGCAGTGGCATCTTCATAGCTCACTGCAGACTCAAACTCCTGGGCTCAAGCAATCCTCCCACCTCAGCCTCCCAAAGTGCTAGGATTGCAGATGTGAGCCACTGCACCTGGCCTATTCAGTTTCTTAATTTGGTTTTTTCTAATGAAATAACTAGAAAAGTGTACAAATATGTTCATCACAGTGTTATTAATAATATTGAAACCCTGGAAGCCATGTAAATGATCATCAATAGAGAATTGATCAAATAAATTACAGTATGGCCAGGAAAGATACCCATGATGTGTTAAGTTTAATAAAAAAAGGATTACAAAACTTCATGTATAACATTACTACATTTTCTGTATTCACATAGGAAAAATTATGGCAAAATACGGTGATGGGATTAAAGGTAATTTTTCATTTTTTTTCTTTATACCTTTTGTATTCTCTGAGTTTATTTCAATTCACACATGCTATTTTTGTTGTATGAAAAAATAAAGCTGTGCTCATTTTAAGAAATAGTATAAGAAAGGAAAAATAAAAGTGAACAAATTAATATTAATAATTGTCTTTTATACTTATTTCCTTTTAGTGGATGTAAACTTCTTTAGAGTTCACTTCTTTTTACTGCTATTAGTTTTCATTCAGGTTTTAATTTGAGGTAGCAATGAGTATGGGCTGGGGAGAGGGGAATGAGCCAGTTCTTAGGCTCCTTTGGGCAGCTTTCATTCTAGG